TGTCGCAGGATATTCGCAAGCATGCAAATGTTCTGTTAAAAAAAAAAAATTCACTTAAGTGAATTTCACGGCAAACAAACACAATAAATGACCCCTAAAATTGTGTATGCCTGTGAAAAGGCGACAAACTTCGGTACTCCAAGCTGTCCATAGGCGTTGTTTAAAGTGGAGCTCCACCCAAAAGGGGAAGTTCCGCTTTAAGGACTGCTCCCCCGCTCTCCATTAAGGATTGGCATCTTCGGGGAGCGGGTACCCAAATTTTGACAGGTACCTGCTCCCACTTCCGGTCCGATCTCCTAGGCAATCGGAAACGGAAGGTGTCCTCCTTTCTTCCCTCCCTGTAGTCTTTTGGGACACGTGACAGGTCCCAGAAGACTACAGGACCATTCATGAAGCGCAGCACTTCTCGCACATGCGCAGTGGGTACCCGACTGTGAAGCCGCAAGCTGTCACAGCCGGGTGCCTACACTGAAGATGCCGGCTACACTGAAGATGCCGGCCTCCAGGAATACAGGACGGCTGGTGAAACGGGCTGCAGGGGACACACCGCGGGACCAAGAAATAGAAATATGGACCTGAGTACATGGGAACAGCCATACTGGCTCATTATATATGAGACTCCAGGTTTATTTCTGTACAGATCTACAAGAAATGTCCCGTTTCACTGAAAACAGAGCCAGCGATGCGCAATCTCTAATCATATGAAACAGCCAGGATGCTGCTGCTAACTAGAGACTATGTGATGTTCACAATCAAGCTTGGCCATTTTTTAATTTTTGTTCACAGGTATTGGGTTATTGACAGGTCCACTTTACCGCCCCCCCCCCCCCCCAACACAAAACCGCACAGCTCATAATCTGATAAACAAACGCCCTCTACCACAAGCAAGAAACAGGATGCAGCCGCGGTTGACAAAAACCGAGAGGAAAACCTTCCACACTTCACTGACTTCCTATCTGGCCTGTGTGTGTGTGTGTGTAGCCTGCAATCCAGCTGCTGTAGTACTGCAAGTACCAGCATGCCTCCGGTATTAGACATTAGAACAGGAAGTGAAGGGAAATCTCCAAATGAGAAACAGGCAGAAATGAAAAGCTGCCATAGGTAAGAAAACAAAAAGTCTAGCTAGATATAAAAGACACAAAACAAGCAACACACCACAACACTAGTATCAAGTGTAGATTTTTTTTCTGTGCAAGAATCTGTAACGTGTATAAAACTCATTGTAGCGCGCATGAAAAATGATGTAAAGTGATGTCTCTGCAAGTGAAATCTGTGCATCAGTTTCCAGCAGTTTTTCTGCACGCATGGTGTGAATGAGGCCTAATACAACATCCTGGGTGCAGGCATGGACTGGGACAAAAAATAGGCCTTTTAGACTGATCAGCCCTTTTTGTTTTGTGATGTACCAGGGATGTGACAATATTGATTGGACCTGGGGCAAACATCTTTCGTGCCCCCCCCCCCAATGCAATTTCACTCTCCACCTGCTCTGAGACATACAATAAATAGCAACTAGACTCAAAATCAGTTTACTGCAACAAATCAGGCAGCAATTGCAGTTGGTTGCCAGAGGTTACAGCACATCGTTTCTGCTTGAGGATTGGCTACTAGAGGTTACTGCACATCATTTCTGTGCACTGATTGGTTGCTAGAGGTTACTGCACATCATTGCCATTCACTGATTGGTTGCTAGAGGTCACTGCACATCATTACCACTCATTGATTGGTTGCTAGAGGTCACTGCACATCATTACCACTCATTGATTGGTTGCTAGAGGTCACTGCACAGCATTACCACTCACTGATTAGTTGCTAGAGGTTACTACACAGCATTACCACTCATTGATTGGTTGCTAGAGGTTACTGCACATCACTATACTGTACTGTATCTCACTGGCTGGCTGCTAGAGGTTACTGCATATCCTGAGCAGAGGATAACAGAAGGTAAAGTGAAGGCAGCATGAGCTCTGTATCAGCACACCAAAGAGTGTCTTTTCTTCTATCAGCCGTCTGCATTTACTTTCTCTCCCTGGCTTGTGGTGTCTGCAGCAGGCGGCAGCAGTGACACCTATCCCCAACATCAGGCCATCGGGTCTCCTCCAGCTCCTCCTCCTTCAAGGTCAGCCAATATGTAGTTACCACGACCTGGATAGCTAAACTGAATGGGCTGGCTGGCCACGGAGAGGCCAGGTAGGAAATGTAGGCTCAAGCAGCAAGCTCAGCAGCCGCACCTGCAGCTGCTTTGAGCCCCGAGGACATGCAGCCTGGTGGCTCTGAATGGACCTGAACTGGGTTGAATTGAATGGGCCAGCTGGCAGCTGCTTTGGGCCCCAAGGACATGTGGTACATGACTGTGCTGCTTCTCCTTCCAATGTCCAGTCACAGGTTGGGGATGGGTCTAGGGCAACCTGGACTCAGAGGAGGTACCTTTTAATGGGCTTTTCATTTTTAATTTGTTATTTTTGGCTGGAATTCTGCTCTAAAATGTATCTAAATTCCAAACTTTTTTTTTTCATTACATTTTGGATAGAGCGAGGCAGGGTTGGAAACTTTGTCAGCCTTTTTGTTTCTGTCTGTGTCCCATTGTATTCAATGAAAATAATACAAGATGTGATTTTTGAATGGACAAGGTGATGAGCGAGCAACCTGCAGACATCCCTGAACTGTATGGGTCCATTCACGTGGGCATATGTGTATTCTCTGTATGAACGGACGTTCCTGCTGGCAGAAGATCCTGCAAAAAATATGGATCTAAAGTACTCATATTAAGACACATTTAGATGCATACAGTACAATCCTTTCATTTCAAAGAATAGCTACATATTTACACGTATTTAGGCCCTTTTGCGCATTCACATGTAAAATCTGCAGATCAGATGCAGAGGTGTCCTACTTTTTTTCTGCACAGCTAAACGCAGCACACATTTTCACAGAAGAAGCCGTGTGTATGGATTCATTGATTACTATAGTGCTGTGTTTATATGCGCACAAACGTATGCGCTGTGCACGTCTAACCCAGAATTTTTCTGCTTATGTGAATGAACCCTAAGTCTGAGTGGGTGAAGCTGATGGTTGACACAAACAAATAAATACATTAAAATAAAAAAATGAAAATTTTTATCATTATACATAACTTCTCTGGAACAAGCACTGCTAAAAAAGAAGTACATTTTGCCTGGAGTTCCACTTTAACATACAGTATATGTCACAGAAACAAAGCAGATAGATAAGTTGGGTACAGAAGAGTAGGGGTGCATTGGATTATGGTTTGGTATAAGAGAGGATGGGTATATGGCTGTGATGGTTTAAAGCTTGATAGAGAAATGCTGTATATAGAACAATCACCTAAGAAATTATTATTATTATTATACAGTATTTATATAGCGCCAAAGGGTATGCTCAGCGCTGTACAGTAGCAAGGGGGACAGAACATGAGACAAGACAGTAACAATACAATACACAAGGGGTTTGAGGGCCCTGCTCAGAAATTAATTATTATACAGGATTTCTATGGCGCCAACAGTTTGCTCAGCACTTTACAATATAATGGGAGACAATACAGCAACAATACAGTTCAATACAAGAGGGATAGGAGGGCCCTGATCCTGGGAGCTTGCAATCTAAGAGGGAGGGGCTAGTGGTACAAAAGGTAGTAACTGTAATGGCCTTCTATAGATTGCTATGCTAGAGGTGAGAAGTGCATAGGGGGTGTGGAGCAATAATAAAGGCAAACCGAAGTTGGATGTGTTAGATGCATTGGAAGCTCACCACTCACCCTCATCTGAAATCTGTAACCCCCTGAGGGGTTAATAGAGAATTCAATTAATCTGGGTCACAACGTAGTCCCCCCCACCGAGACCACACATGCAGGAAAGGCACAGTACAGTTGTTTTGGAATGTTTGTACGCCCTTGAGGGTTAGGGAGGGACTGATGTGAATGTACAATATATATTTAAAAGCGCTGCGTAAATGAATGGCGCTATATAAGTACTGGAAAGGCTACGTTCACACTGGCTTTGTCAGCAGGCATCAGACAGGCATTAGGGAAGCGTTTTTAACGCTTCCCAAACGCCTATGAAAATTCTGCACATGGTAATACACAGCACTGTTCATACTGAAGCGTTAGCTTCACGTCGCAGCAAAACCGACCCTCAGGTTGAGTCAGGAAGAGTTGAAGCCTCCCATCCAAGTCTATGGTGCAGTTCCTCAAATGCCTTGCAGGCGTTTATGGGGCGGCTGCAAGGCGGTTGCGAGACATTTGCGTAGCGTTAAGACTATTTAACTTTATTATAGGCGTTTGTGGTGCAGTTTTAAACGCTTGGCAAACGCCTATCAAACAGCTCAACACTTAGGGCATTTGGGGAGCGTTTGAGAAGCATTAAAAATGCTTCCCAAACGCCTGTCTAATGCCTGTCAAACGCTATAGGGGCGTTTGGCAAGAGTTAGAAATAAGTCAAGTGTAAACGAGCCCAAGAAACAAATTTTTGAACTGTTTGAAAACAAGACCTGGAATTCCCCTTTACAGATGAGTAGTTTTCTTTCATTTCTTCTTTGATATACTGTATATGAAAATTTCATAATGAGATCTATGAAAGGAAGCATGGAGTAGTGTATGTAAAACTGCTCCAACAGAACACCAAGTGATATTCAAATCCATAGGCTCTTATTCATCAAGCTTCAAGTGGAACATAAGGCACCCTAAACTTTAATCTTAGATATTATTTTTGTGTAGATCATTTAAACGTGTCTCCTCAGCTAGGCATTCCTTTATCTGTTAGATCAGCCATTCCCAACATGAGTTCCTTGGAACCCTTGGGTCCTCCAGAGATTGCTAGGAATTCTTTGAAATGTGGCTGATTGACCTCCCATCTGATGGTGTCTAAACAGTTCAAAGTCACTTGGAAGACCAAGGGGCATGACACCAGTGATCTCCTAAGCTGCCTCTAAGGATGGCATTCTGACCACCCTTTTTCCCGCTGAACACCATTTTAAGGAGCATTCTTCCCACTGACCACCAATGTAAGGAGCATTCTTCCCACTGACCTCCAATGTAAGGAGCATTCTTCAAACTGACCACCAATGTAACGAGCATTCTTCACACTGATTACCAATGTAAGGAGCATTCTTTCCATTAATCTCCAATGTAAGGGACCTTCTTCACACTGATCACCAATGTAAAGGGCATTCCACTCCACTGATCACCAATGTAAGAGACCTTCTTCTCACTGTCCTTCAATGTAAGGAGCATTCTTCCCACAGATCACCAATGTAAGGGACATTCTTCACACTGACCACCAATGTAAGGAGCATTCTTCCCACTGACCTCCAATGTAAGGAGCATTCTTCCCACTGATCACCAGTGTTAGGAGCATTCTTCCCACTGACCACCAATGTAAGGATCATTCTTCCCACTGACCACCAATGTAAAGATCATTCTTCCCACTGACCACCAATGTAAGGATCATTCTTCCCACTGACCACCAATGTAAAGGGCATTCCTCTCCTCTGATCACCAATATAAGAAGCATTCTTCCCACTGACCACCAATGTAAGGGACATTCTTCCCACTAATCTCCAATGTAAGAGACCTTCTTCTCACTGTCCTCCAATGTAGGGAGCATTCTTCCCACTGACCACCAATGTAAGGGGCATTTTTAACTCTAATCACCAATGTTAGGGACATTCTTTCCACTAATCTCCAGTGTAAGAGACCTTCTTCACACTGATCACCAATGTAAAGGGTATTCCTCTCCACTGATCATCAATGTAAGAGGCATTCTTTCCAGTAATCTCCAATGTAAGAGACCTTCTTCTCATTGTCCTCCAATGTAAGGAGCATTCTTCCCACTGACCATGTAAGAAGTATTCTTGCCACTGATCACCAATGTAAGGGGCCATTGACACCTAATGAATTGGTTTTGGTAAGGGTTTCCTAATCCTGAAAATTATTATACAGTGATTTTCAACTTCCACAGAGGCCCCACATATATAAGTTATGGGTATTCACATTGTGCCGAGCAGGACCAATGTAATCGAGCCATAAAATCCAAACCTGAAGTTCAGCTTTAGTAATGAGAACACAATGCCCTTTCCTGTTACATAAATCCTCCCAGTGCTGAGGCAGAATATGTTGGTGGAGCTTTGAAGGGTTAAGTTCCCTATTTTGTACTTGCGTTTTCCCTCAGCGAACTTTATGAGATAAGGTTTGTGGTGTTGTGCTGAGTTGACTGCTGAGAAATTCAGACACCCTCTTCCTCCCCCGTACGCCCACCAGGCAGGTGCAGGCCAGCTCCCATGGGTGCCTAGGCTGATGAGAAGTTTACGTTGAAGTGACTCTCCATTCTTTGGCAACTCTTGCACACTTTGTACCTCGCTCGGACCATGTTGGTGCTTGTACTCCTCTGTTTCTGCAGCGCCAACTCTGTCCATTCGTTAGAGGACTCTGGGTTCTTTACGGTTTCAGCTGAAGGTAAGAGGACCTAGATTAACCAGTCAATGTAGAATTCACTCTAACCCACAACTTTTGTAAAAGGCAGAAACATCAATAATTTTGTAAAACAACAATTTTGTATATCATATTGATAATGTATCTTATTTCATTGTGTGTGTGACGGCTTTTGAAGTATCTATTCTACCCTAGTGGGAAGGTTTAGCCTATTCTTGTTGTCAGAGGCATTATGAGTCCCGGGCCATTCTTTCCTATGACATCCTTGAATTCCTTGGGTGTTTTCTTTTTGTTGATGTCTCGGTTCCGCACCTTATATCTTTATAAATTTTGTAGCCTACCTAAACATAGCATACATTTTTTATTTCTTATGACAGATAGGGATATAATATGATAGCACACTTACATACTTATATATGTTTATTTTATAGGTTTTAATTAGGAATAAATAGTGAAAAACTTGAAAAAAATATTTTCCTCTGATTCTTCCTAACTTTTTTTTTTATTCTTTTTATTATTTTAGTAAAAAAAAAAGAGCTTACAAAACATATCCTCTCAGCATTCCCCGGACACAATAGTACAGTAACAAGACAAAAATAAAACAGCAACATAAATATAACAATAGCTCATTCAACACCTTTGCTAACAAGTATTACTGTCTGATTGGTATTCAAGGATGATCAGTGTTCCTGGCAGTTATAGGAGAGCAAAAAAAAGAATATGTAGTGGGAGGGTACCCATTTCAGAGTAGGGTCCCTGGGAACAGCTAGAAAACATTCAGAATTAAAAAGAGTTTGGGGGGGCAATAGGATATAAATTACTATGGTCAACAGAAAGGGGGATCCCGCATTATAAGAGCCATTTCCCTTCTCCAGGATAAAGGAGTGTCCCATTCTCCTCCATTCAGAGTTCGCACCAACCGTAGAAGGTGACTCAAGCTAAACATCCCAAATTTTCTTAAACTTTTTCAGGCATTTACTGGATATATAAATCAATTTATAAAACGGCAATGCAACTTTTTTGTAAGTAGCACAACACCAGATAGGTGCCCCCAAAAAGAACCATCACAGACTGCTGATTAAAAGGATATCACATAAGTGTGGTTTTTATGTCCCTGACTGCTGACAGTCCCAGCCTGAGTGCCGTCTGTGACCCGATAGAAATGCTGAACCCCAAGTCCCAGGACTCAAGTGGTCAAGGTAGTTACAAAATAATAGATGCCTATGTGAATGGGCCAAGCTAGCACCTTGCCTTTTGGGCAAAATAATAAAAAAAAAGGCATGTTTCCCTTTAAATCTTCCCAATGCAACTTTTACGTAATTAGCACAGCCGCTGATATCTACCCCAAAATATGACCATTAAAGTCTGCTGATTAAAGTGATATCACGTGAGTGTGGTTTTTATGTCACCGAGAGCCGGGACCAGCCTACGTACCAGCCAGGACCTGGGAGAACTGCCGAGTCCTGATGCTGTTTTAAAACGGCACTCAAAATTCAAGTGGTTCAGGTAGTTATAACATGCTGCGTGCCTTTGTGAATAAACCAAACTTGCACATTCTGATTTGGGAAAAATTGAAACAAATATTGCAAAATTATAAATAATTTAAAAAATCTGGATTATTCCAAGCATTCCCACAGTCGTCATGAGTAATCCCTGTAATTTGTTTAATCTGTGTATTTCCCGTGACCGTTATCTCCATCTCGTGACCATAATGCAACATTTTCATGAAATACTGCCTTCGGAAAAATTCTGCACTATGACCTCGAGATGGAGCTGATTATTATAGGAAATACATAATTCAATGAGTAGACCCCTTTTTGTTGTCACCTGTGTAGGAAAGAAGAGGGAATCCCTCTAATAGAGCCCTGGGTAACAGTAACCTTTTCCCACTCTATCCAAAAAAATATAACAAATGTGGCGACCTTTAGTAAAGGCATTTTAAAGATAGGGGTCTCCAAACTATGGCTGTGGGCCAAATCCAGCCTGCTACAAGATTGTATCCAGTTCTCTGATGGGAACTTTCCTGTAATGGGGACATTGATGGGAACTCTGATGTGAGGGTACTCCAATGAAGACCCTGATGTAATGGGTGACTCTGCTGCAGTGCTGGGACAAGGTCATCTATAGCCCAGGATGAACATGCCAAATTGTGCCTCCCCCCCCAAGATGTGTGAGCATTGTGTGTCAGCAACCCCCCCCCCCAAAAAAAAAAAAAAACAAGCACTAATCTGCATGCTTACCACCCAGCATAGAGTTTCCCTCCTCCCATTACAAATCCACCACTCACTGAAATCCCCCCACCCAGCACAAATCTTTGCCCCCCCCCATACACCCTGCTCAAATCCTCTCCCCATATGCCCCAGAACAAATCCCCCCCAAAAAACAAATTTTTCCTTCCTAGCACAAATAGCCCCCAATTATGCCTACTAGCACAAATCCCCCACAAAAAACAGTTTTGCTCAGCACTTTACAATATAAAGGAAGACAATACAGCAACAATACAGTTCAATACAAGAGGGAAAGGAGGGCCCTGCTCTATATATATATTCATTTATGTACTGATATGTGAACATCAGATATTGGCAGAAAGTTCCGGCATAAAAATGCATGATGGGATGTATTCGCACATACGTGTACAAGCGTGTTAAAATCCTTTCTAGCTATTCTTGGGGCAGATTTTCACCTGCATGTACAGGCCCTTTAAAACAATGTGCTAATGAGATTATTAAAAAAATGCCTGAAGGACTAAAAACCTGGGGGTACATAGATAGATATGAATAGATAGATAGATAGATAGATAGATAGATAGATAGATAGATTGATTGATAGATAGATAGATAGATAGATAGATAGATAGATAGATATGAATAGATAGATAGATAGATAGATAGATAGATAGATAGATAGATAGATAGATAGATAATAGATAGATAGATAGATAGATAGATAGATAGATAGATAGATAGATATGAATAGATAGATAGATAGATAGATAGATAGATAGATAGATAGATAGATAGATATGAATAGATAGATAGATAGATAGATAGATAGATAGATAGATAGATAGATATAGAGATAGATAGATAGATAGATAGATAGATAGATAGATAGATAGATAGATAGATAGATAGATAGATATGAATAGATAGATAGATAATAGATAGATAGATAGATAGATAGATAGATAGATAGATAGATAGATAGATAGATATGAATAGATAGATAGATAGATAGATAGATAGATAGATAGATAGATAGATAGATAATAGATAGATAGATAGATAGATAGATAGATAGATAGATATGAATAGATAGATAGATAGATAGATAGATAGATAGATAGATAGATAGATAGATATGAATAGATAGATAGATAGATAGATAGATAGATAGATAGATAGATAGATATGAATAGATAGATAGATAGATAATAGATAGATAGATAGATAGATAGATATGAATAGATAGATAGATAGATAGATAGATAGATAGATAGATAGATAGATAGATAGATAGATATGAATAGATAGATAGAATACTGTATATAGATATATTTATTTATTTTTTAGCATACACATCACCAAAAGCCATGAAAAACCAAGTATAAGCAATACAAATCAAACAAAAAGTGCTCAAGTGTTAATACTGTGCACAATAAATATATAAACAGATATCTAAAAAACATTCAATCCATGACAGTGAAAGCAAGAATGTGCTCTAAAATCAAGGTGTACGTCCACTGATAGTTATGTTAAATGTCCTTCTTTCCAGCCAAAACACCACGTGAATAAATAAATCTTCCAAAATGAGTGACTGATCCGCTTCTATAGCCTCAAACAAATCGCCCCCAATCCAGTGCCCTCACCAAATATTATGGCTTATCTCGCTATTGATAAGTAAATTCACTTGTGTGAATATCAATCCCAATTAGGGATTCTCCTCCATAACAGCTGTACTTGCCAGTAAACAAAAGCTCGTATAACAGTGGGATTCCTTGATCGACACCACCCCACCAAAACATAAAGTATGTGCATGTCCAACATCAGTGGTCCTGCAATGGTATGGTGTTGCATCAACAGTGTCTCACCTGACCATCCTCACTGGCCGGGAGCTGAATGTCACTTCCGGCGGTAAATAGGAGGCAGACACTGGTTGTAGGCAATTGTCAATGCGGCCCGACCCTAACGCATTTCGTCACCTGACT